AAGGCCTCTGGCCACTTTCCCATATTGTGAAAGTCTAGCCAAGCAAGTTCTCAAGGTTTTGCGAGGGGAGAACATTTTCTCCTCAAGAGGCACAGGCATTCCAGTCCTCATCTCGACCCCAAGTAACCTGCGGCTCCGGCCCACACAAAGGGAGGGCCTAGGGGCCTGAGGATCCTGTGTTTCCCACAGGTATCCTTGAAATGGATGATCTAGGATGGTATTATTTTTTAGTTACTTATTATTTACCTAGTGTCTTTTTTTTAAGGTCAGTCTGCCCATTAGTGGGCTACAGCAAAAAGTGACTATCAGCTGGGTTAGATACACAGTTTGTATATGTTTGCAGTTTAGACATGCGGTACCCAGTGAATAGTACCTGTCCTATTTCTTTGAGAGTGGAAGCCTTTGGAATTTATAGATTTGTAGTATGAGAAGGAAAAGGCAGTCACATTTATAGATTCATAGTATCTTTTTTTTTTTTTTTTTTTGAGACAGGGTCTCGCTATGCAGTTCAGGCTGGCCTTGAACTCACTTTGTAGCCCAGGCTAGTCTCGGACTCCCAGAAATCCCCCTGGCTCAGCCTCCCAAGTGCTGGGATTACAGGCATGCACCACCATGCCTGGCTAGACTCATAGTATCTTAAAGACTCTAGCGATTCAGGGGCTGGAAGAAAGATAGGCCTAGGGATAGAAAGGCCTCATAACTTTGGATAACTTTGATTTTGTCTTAAAGTTGCATTTTTCTACATCTTCCTCAAAATTAGTTTCATCATGTCCTTTTTATCTGTCTTTATTTCTTCTGTCCTATGCCCCTGCTCCCTGCTGAGCTTCTCACAGGCAGATGCGGACCACTCCCTCCATCCTTGGCCTCTGGACAGGGTTTGCCTGGGCTTCCTGTGGTCCCCAGGATGGGTCCTTTTCCGTCATCCTTGATGGGTTCCCTGTCTCTGCTGAACCTGTGCTGTGGAGTGACGCAGGCCTGTCCCAGACCTCTGACCTCCTCATTCTTCACTTTCTCCCCAGTCATCTTATCAGATACCATCCAAATGCTACTGTAGGCCTATGGCACGTGTGTTACTGCGCTTTTCTTTTAAGACAAAAGATGTTGATGTAGTTGTTTCTTTCTAAACTAAAACCTCAGTACTGAGTTTCATTGCAGTGTTGGCCCTTTGAGATAAGGAACTGGGTTTGGGGTTGCAGTTTGGCACTTGGTCTCTAAAAGATTCGCCGCCACTGCTTTAGATTCTCCTTCTACACGTCCCCGGAGTGACCAATTGTCCTTGTGACAGTTCCACTCGGAGGTTTAGCGGACCTTCTAAACTTAGCGACTTTGAAAAGAGAACTTTTAAGTTCTCCCTCCCTACCCCTCGCTATTGCCCGTCTAGACATTCTCCTCCAGTTTTCCCCATCTGGATGAAGGGCAGCATGCCCCCACTCCGCTGCTCAGAGAAAATGACTGAGAGCTAAACCTGCTTCTCTCCTTTCCTCACCTCCCTCCGTGCCGACCCATCGCCAGTCACCTCTGCTTTGCTCCTGAACCTGTGCTGCGTCTGCCTGTCTACTCCATCTTTAGCCGGGTGTGATGGCACACGCCTGTAATCCCAGCGCTCGGGAGGCTGAGGCAGGAGGATCGTTGCAAGTTCGAGACCAGCCTGGGCTACAAAGTAAGCTCAAGGCCAGCCTGAACTGCAGAGCGAGACCCTGCCTCAAAAAGACAAAAACAAACAAACAGACATCTTTGCTGTTTCTCCCATCTAGCATCACTTCCCACTCGGTCTCCCCTGAGACTCCCTGCTGGTCTCTGCCTCTCCCTGCAGCAGCTGGAGTGATTGTTAAAATATGTAAATGAGATGACACGGGCCCATCTCCTTGCTTCAAACCTGTCGGTGGCTTTCCCTCACACTGAGAGTAAAACACGGATGCCTTACTGTGCTCCGAGGGGCGACCTTGTCAAGGCCCCAGCCCATTTCTTTGATTTTCTTTCCTTCTTTTATCTCTAACTTTTATTGTGGAAAGGTTTAAACACATGCAAAAATAAACAGAATATTATGAAGGCATTTATGTACTTACCTATCAATGATTATTAACTCAGTCAATTTTATTTTTCCTTCTTTTTGAGGGGGGCAGCACTGGGGGTTGAGTCAGGACCTTTACACTGAGTACATCCCCAGCTCTTGTTTAATTTTATTTTTTATTTTGAGACAGGTTCTTGTTAAGTCACTGAGTTGCCTAGGCTGGCTCACATTTATGATCCTCCTGCTTCAGTCTCCTGGAGTGCGGGGATCACAGGCGTCTGCCGTCATGCCTGGTGTATTTCCTCTTTCCCTTTAGTTCTGCACACCGTGATTTGAAGCTGAACCCAGCTGTCTGATCATTTCATCTATAAACACACTTTCCCTCCAAGTGGCTTCCTGTCATTCATCTCTCAGCCTAAATGTTACTCCTTAGAGTAGCGCTACCCTAGACGCGGCTTTGTAATACCTCCCACCATACAGAATATGTATTTGTTGGCTTGTGTGCTGTTGGCTTCCTCTCAACTACAGCATCAGCTCCCTGGGGTGAGAGCCTTGTCTCTCAGTCACTTTTATAACCCTGGCACCTGGAATAGTCTCTCGGCCATGGTAGGTGCTTAGCCAGTGTTTGCTGCGTGGGATGCCTCCGTGTTGGCCATGGGCCGCCTCTCAGCCACCTTATACTCTCTGTACTCAGGCAACCAAAGGAGGCACTGTCAAAGCTGCTTCAGGATTCAACGCCACTGAGGATGCCCAGGCCCTGAGGAAGGCCATGAAAGGACTTGGTAAGTCCCACTGGAGGTGAATTCTCCTTTGTGTATTTGGCAAGTCAGGCATGTGTACTGGCAAGTGGGAATAAATCTCCTTTGAGAAAACACAATGGGAACAAGTTGGCATTTTAAGACAAATTAGATGGGAGGGTGTATTAGTCAGCTTTCTATTGCTGTCACAAAAGCACTTGAGATAATCAGTTTAAAAAAGAAGAAGGTTTCATAGTTTGGGTTGTTTCAGTCCATGGTTAGTTGGCCCGTTGGTTGTGGGTTGGTAGCAAGATAGCACATCACAGCAGAGTAGGGGAAGCTCGTTCACATTATGGCCAGGAATGAAAGGGAGAAGAGGAGGGACTGTAGTCCCAAGATCCCCTTCAAGAGCAATTTCCTTCCACCCCATCTCTTAAAGGTTCACCACTTTCCATTAGCATCAAGCTGGAGATTAGCCCTTTATTTTTATTTATTTATTTATTTATGTCTTTTTGAGACAGGGTCTTGCTATGCAGTTCAGGCTGGCTTGAGCTCACTTTGTAGCCTAGGCTGATCTCAAACTCCCAACAATCCTCCTGCCTCAGCCTCCCGGGTGCTGGGATTACAGGTATGTGCCACCATACCCAGCTTAGAGATGAGCCCTTTAACGTGTGGGCCTTTGGGGGATATTTTTGATCTAAAGTTTAGAAGAGGACATTAATACTTCTTCACTTAAATATAGACTTTTAAATGTAATTTCACTCATTATAAATTTCCCCAGCTGTTTAAATCTGCTTTGAACTACATTATGAGTCTCTCCATAAAATTTCAGAATTGTGTGTTTTCCACTTAAGTACTGGTCTATGGATGGTGTCAAAGGTTTACAAAGCAACTAATATTATCTCATAAGATAAATGCAACAACTCTGTGATTTAGTGAAAGAAGCTATTACTTATGGTTATTTTAGCCCTGTGTTACAGGCGTGAAGCTGAGACCCAGAGAAGCCCGAGACACTCTCACCAGGTCACGTAGGAAGTGGCTCTGAGCCGTGGTTCGCACTTGGCAGCCCCGGGTCTGCGGCTCAGACCTGCGTCCTTTCCCTTGAGCTCCTCCGCATGCGGCTGCCATGAGATGCAGCTGCTGCAACCCCGGCATGCGGTGTGAGGAACCTTCTGTGAGCAGACTCATGCTCCTTCCACGGCACTATCTTCAATCAGCCCCTGGGGGCCAAAGGCCTCGTGCGGGGGTGGCAGAGTCATTCAGGGTACACAGCAGGCCACCCGGCCTCCAAGGCCTTGCCTGGGTAGACTTTTGGCCACATTTTTGGGTGAAAACACTTGACTGTGAGACCTTATTTCTCAATCTTTCTATCCACAAAGAGTTCATTTACCTAGCCTCACTGCTGTGGATAGTACTAACAGCCCTAACAATAATAGCACATAGCTGTTAACCTCTACTGTTGTGTCAGGCATAGATGCTTCACATGGATTCCTTGTTTTTAACCCTGACAACAGCTTGCCTTACTGATCAGAGGCTGAGGCTGGGGAGGCTGGCTAACTCGCATGGCAAGCTGGCACTCGTAAGTGAGAGTTAGGACACCAGGCAATTCCAGGTAGGTGACGTCAGGCATAGTGACTTCACAGCTGGAGTGTAAGCCCCTGTGCTGTCCAGCTGACCGCCTCTGAGCAGAACATTGTCCTGACTCTCTGAATTCTTCTCATTTTCCCTGTAAATAAAATGGAAAATGCACCAGGCCTACTGTCGGGGATTGACAACTGGTGGTCAACTTGTAACACCCAGCTGAACTGAACCAGCATGGTGCTGGGTGTGGGTGGCCCAGCTCAGGATTGTTGCTGGCAGCATAAGAGGCAGAACTGGAGAGGAAGAAGTTCAGAAGCTGTAAGGAGCTGCTAGAAGCTGTTAGGGAGCTGTTGGTTCTCTTGGAGAAGCTTGTCAGGCTATGAACTCAGCTGTTCTCATCGTTGAAGGCGCTCAGGACCTTGTTATCGCTGAGAATAGCTACAGATCGCCTTAGTGGAGCTTTGGTCCGTACTTTGAGCATCACTTCCTGGCTCCGGAGGGGAAGGTGGTGCATTGTTCAGTCTCCTGGAGAAGCTTGTCACGCAGGTTTTCCTGATATGGACACGGCTGTTTTCATCTTTGGAGGAGCTCGGGACCTCACTGTTGCTGAGAACGGCTGTGGTACTTTTCAGGGGAGCTGGTGGTTCTTACTTTGAGCATTGCTTCCTGGCTCCAGTGCAGATCCCTCAGCCTGCTAGCACAGATCCTTCATCCCGCTGGCACAGACTTCCTAGATTCCACCACTGACCTTTGGGCCTTCCCAGCACAGATCCATGAAACAGGCCTGACATTGTTGTGGGCTCTAAGCCTCCAGCTGGGCTCCTGGGGGGCATTGTTATGGGCTGTAGGTCTTCAGCTAGATTCATGCAGGACATTACCAGGGGATCCAGGTCCTCAGCTGGATTCTTTGGTCTTTAGTGTGTGGGCAGATTTCCTGCACTCTTTTTGTATATGACTCTTTGTGTGACTACTATAAAATAATTCTGTAAATTGTGTGTCCTGTATTGTTCCCCTTGCAAAATCCCTAACTACAACACCTTTTTTTTAGATTTATCCTAATTATTTGGTATAGAGCAAGAATGCTGTGATTCAGAATGCAGACTACATACGTTCAAAATTCTCAAAGCAAGAGTCAGGCAACATTTGGCAGAACCAATCCTTTTTCAGTGCCTGATATGTGAGGGCCAATGGGAAGTTGGAAGAGGCAGCAGACAGCCCTAGTCTGTGGACTGAGGGTGTAGCTTGGTGGTAGAGTGCTTGCCTACGTGTGCAGGGCCCTAGGTTCAGTTCCCAGCACTGCGTAACTACACGCACGCACGCATGCACGCACACACGCATGCATGCACACATACTGGTCCAGATGGTCAAATAATCCACAAATGCTAGGACAGCAATGAGTTCATGGTAGGATACTGATAAGCGGGGCACAGATAAGATCCTAAAGGGCAGTGGTGGTGAACCTATGGCATGCATGCCGCAGAAAGCTCATAAGGTTTCATTTGTGTCATTGAAAGCTCTGTAAGGTTCGCCATCATTGCTTAGGGGTTGAAGGAGAGGAGATGACATTTCATTTGGAAGCATTCAGGCAAAACTTGCTGGAGGATGAAGAATCTGAGATGAGCCCTGGGCCGTGAGATCGCCCTGGTGCTGTGTTTCAGGTGAACAGAGCTGACGCCCAGGAGAAACAGTAAATGTGTGGAAGAAGCTTGCAGCAGCAGCGGGTGCCTGCAGAACAGGAGTGAGCGGTTTGGGGGCTTGAAGAGATGGGAGGTACCAAAGGGAGGTCCTGGCCGTGCTGCTGAGAGAGCCGCCTGTAGGGTCACACACATGGGGGATGCAAGCCACTGTCCAGGCAATCACAAGTGTCACAGTCATGATGCTAAGCAGAGGTGGCCAGGGAGAGTCGAAATCAACAGACTGCTAGGGAAGGCGGTCAGGAGACTGGAGCGCAGTTCACTTAGGTAAAGAGTCAAGTTGAAGAATTTGGCTGCCTGGTATCATTTTATATGGGTATTTACAATAGAAAATGGGAGATGGCACAGAGGCTGCAGTGCCCCACAGGAAATCCGGCAGGCCATGGGGAGCCATGGTCTATATCTGAGCTGGTGAGGGATATACTAAGAATTTTTCCTTTTACTTATTATCTATTTGTTTATTTTGTGTTACTAGTGATTGGACCCAAAGCCTTTGCACAGAGCTAAATCACCAACCCTTTTGGGGTTTTTTGGGTTTTTTTTTGTCTTTTTGAGGCAGGGTCTCACTGTGCAGTTCAGGCTGGCCTTGAGCTCACTTTGTAGCTCAGGCTGGTCTCAAACTCACAATGATCCTCCTGCCTCAGCCTCCAGAGTGCTGGGATTATAGGCGTGTGCTACCATGCCCAGCCCAACATCACAACTTTTTATACAGCATAAACAACAAGGAAACAGAAAATTCACCAAACATACATGAAGGCCCAGCTGTTACAGAGATGAGGGACAAATCGGGAAAATCAACCAAAACTCTCCTTGTAAAAGCTGCTCCAAGCAGCAGACAAGCAATATTTGGAAGATTTCTAACTGACAACTTAAGGTTTCGGTAGTACAGTATGTGGTATAAAAAGGAAAATGGGAAAAATAGTTTAAAAATGGAGATAATGGGAAGGATAGCTTAAAAATTACAAACACAATTACAATTTTAAAGTACACTTAAGCTACACGTGGTAGCTCATGCCTGCAATTCCAGCACTTGGGAGGCCGAGGCAGGAGGACTGCTATGAGTTCAAGGTCAGCCTGGGCTACAAAGTGGGTTTAAGACCAGCCTGAGCTGCATAGTAGAACCCTGTCTCAAAAAGACAAAAAAAAAAAAAGTACACTTAATACACTGAGCGGCCAGTTTAAACTCTACAAAATGCCAGATCAGTGAATTAGAGGCAAAGTGTGAGTTGCTTCAAAACTCAGAGAAAATAATAAAGCAGGAAAAGGTAAATATGCAGAAGGTATGACCTAGAGGATATGAAAAGAATTCCATAAGAGAGGAGAAAGGAGGGCTCCAGCCAGCATTTACTGAGTGTGCAGTAAGTGGTGGGCTTTGGGCTAAGTAATTTTCTGAATGATTATAGGTACCGCTTGCAATAGCGCAGTGAGGGTGAGTGCTATCATCATTCACAACTCACAGATAAGGAAACTGATGCTTACAGAACTTAGCTGTTTTCCTATGTGAAGGGGAAGCTAAGTTTCAAACTATTTTCCGGTAAGTAGACATGCCGTCTTTTTGGAGCAAGCTTTCTGCCTGTGGTTAAGGCAGTCGTCCCCAGAGAACCCACTTCCCCAATTGCTCTCAAGTCAGTCACTCATGGTCTCTGCTGCTCCCACAGGCACTGACGAAGACGCCATCATCAAAGTCCTGGCCTACCGCAACACGGCCCAGCGCCAGGAAATCAGGACGGCCTACAAGACCACCATCGGCAGGGTAGGCACGGGGCTCCCGCTCTGTGTGGGTGACAGGGACTTCTCAGGCAACACAGAAGCAGGGCCTCTCCAACAAGATGTCTAAAGGAGTCCTGTGTTTTAAAAGATGAATCCTTTGTCTTGTTTTTGTTTGTGTGTGTGTTTGTTTTAATTTATTTATCTGCATTTAAAAGAAACTGTTGACAGAGCCAGGCGTGGTGGCGCAGACCTGTAATCCCAGTACTCACTGGAGAGGCTGAGGCAGGAGGATCATTGCAAGTTCAAGGCCAGCCTGGGCTACAAAGTGAGCTCAAAGCCAAAAGAAGGAAGGAAGGAAGGAAGGAAGGAAGAAAGGAAGGAAGGAAGGAAGGAAGGAAGGAAGGAAAGAAGGAAGGAAGGAAGGAAAGAAAGAAAGAAACTATTGACAAAGATTAACAGGATATAATCTTGAATTAGTGGGAAAGAAGAATCAAAACTACTGAAACATAGATATTTTTTTTCCAACTGAACAAAACCTCTTAGGTGCTTCTTACTTTTCTAAACACATGGTTATAGAATGAAAAATATTCAATCACTTCTGTTTTTTCCTGAATATACAAATATTAAAATAGCAATTAAAGGCCAGGTAGTGGTGCACACCTGTAATCCCAGCACTCAGGAGGCTGAGGCAGGAGGTTCACTGAGTTGAGGCCAGTCTGCACTACATAGTGAGTTCAAGGCCAGCCTGAACTACACAGTGAAACCCTATCTCAAAACAAACAAACAAACAGAAAAACTGAAACAACAAAAAACCCCAAGCAATTAAAAAAACTAATATTTTTCTCTAAATGTTTCTTACCGATATAATTTCAGTATTCTCATTTAATAGTGGTATAGTGTATGAGATTTTTTTTTCCATTCACAAGCAATCCGTGCAATGCAAGCTGATAGTCTATAGACTCATAATGCAAATAAAAAGTTCAGGAATGCAGCAACTGATGTTTCTAAGACACAAAACAGATAAATTCTAAGTCAGTTCATGCTGAAAGCTTTGCTAAGCAGATGACCACAGAACTAGAACAGCTGATCATTTGCGGGCAGTATCAACAGGACTCACAAAGCTTGTTGATTCAAGTTGAACTCTCATCCCAGGCTTTGTGTGTGGCTTTTCCAGTTTCACCAATGACACAAACATGATTCAGATCCCTGCACTATTCATTATAATCAGCAACAAACTTGTCTGGAATTTCAAGTCCAACAAAATCTGGCCTAACATCCACCACCTCAAGGGGTCCTTTTCACCAGCAGGCTTGTGCCCTGGGCCATCTTTGCACCATACTGCTTGTGTTTGCATTGTGTGGCCAGTGACAATTGTATTCTCAATCTGGACATTCTTTCCAGTTAAAGCTGAGAGCTCGCCTCACCCATTACTTCATGGCCCCTGTTGACTGGGCCTCACAGTAGCTCTTGAGTCTGGTAAAATCTATAGCCGTAGGAATGGATTTATCACAATTTCTAGTCAGCGCTTTAATGTAGTCCAGCAGGTCGGCGAAGAATTTGTAGCCCTCCTTGGGAACACAGAGGGCCGCGTGCGGTGGCTTCCGTCTCCTCGTCACCTCTCGAGCAAGCCTTTCGGTACTGTCCATTTCAGTCCGTGAGGAATAAATATCTTTTCCAAGTCATCAGCGTAATGATTAGTAGACATAGAAAATCCAACTCCTGGCCTAGTTCACCATCCCTAATCACAACCCTGGGCTGAGAGCCGCCGTAACGAAGGCGGCTGGCGCATGGTTTGTCAGCACTGGAAGGAGGAAGCAGGCGGAGGGGCAGAGAACAGGCGGGGCCCTTGGTCTTGTTTACACACGTTCCTGGAAACAGCGGTTACCTGGGGAGACTGTGGGTTAGGAGGGTGAAGAGAAGTTGGATAGGAGGAAAAACCAATGTTCTCTAACACATAAAGGTAGGTACAGTTGATAGCATTTAAGTATTTCAAAAAAGCTACTAAAGGGGCTGGGGATTTAGCTCAGCGGCAGAGCGCCTGCCTGGCAAGCGCAAGGTTGTGAGTTCGGTTCCCGGTACCAGAGAAAAACCAAAAAAAAAAAAAAAAAAAATAAAGAAGCTTTTGGGGTTGTTGTTGTTGTTTTTTGGTGGTTTTTTTTGTATTGTTTTGTTGGTTTTTTTTTTTTTTTTTTGGTCTTTTTGAGAACTGTGCAGTTCAGGCTGGCCTTGAGCTCACTTTGTAGCCCAGGCTGGTCTCGAACTCGCAACAATCCTCCTGCCTCAGCCTCCCAAGTGCTGGGATTACAGGCGTGCGCCACCACGCCCGGCTAAAGAAGATTTTGAAGGTTCCCAACACAAAGAAATGGTCAATGGCTGCCGTGATAGATGTACCAGTTATCCTGATGTGATTATTATACATTATACACAGATAATGAAATGTCACACTATACTCCATAAATATGTACTATATGTCAAGTACAGATAATTTTTTTTTGAGACAGAGTCTTGCTATGTAGTCCCTCCTGGCCTTGAACTCACCATGTACCCCAAGCTGACTTCATATTCATGGAAATCCTCTTGCCTCAGCCTCCCAACTGCTGACAGTGTCAGTATATGGTGTGTCACCATACCTGGGAAAAATGAAAACCTTTGTTAATGAATTTTTTAAAATCATGTTGATATTCTCCATTATACCAGTCCAGAAATGCTTCAAGTAGCTGCTGATTCACAAACTCAAGGTCAAGCTTGGTTCCTTCCCACCTAAATCCTCCCAGGGTCTTGATTACTATTATTATTATTATTATTATTATTTTGGTCTTTTTGAGACAGGCTCTCACTCGCTATGCAGTTCAGGCTAGCCTTAAGCTTACTTTGTAGCCAAGGCTGGCCTTGAACTCGCAACAATCCTCCTGCCTCAGCCTCCTGAGTGCTTGGATGACAGGCAAGCACCACCACGCCTGGCTCAGGGTCTTGATTATTATTATGTGGGCTCAATTGTTGCCCTTCTGTGTGTCAGGCAAGGCTGAGTTTATGCTTCTCTGGCCCCATGATGAAGACTCCGTCAAACTGACTCAAATATTTAAATGCAGTTTGTTTCAAATAGGCTCTCCTAGCATTTGGTGCCTTGACTGTCTGCATAAACACATTCATAGCACATGTGTATTCTTGCAGTTCATCTCCTAAATTCTAGAACCTGGCTTTCTGTGTGTTTGTGTGTGTACATACGGGTATCTGGAGTAGCTTATGAAACCAAAGGGTGCTCATTCACCATGTTTCCCCTTTGGATTTGAACTGCACTCCTCTCAGGAGCTGTCTAGTCTCCATCCTCAGTGACAGCAGAATTGTTTCATATCACTGTGGGAAAAACCATGAGAACCTTCCCATTGGGGCAGCCTTATCAACAGGGGTCCCCAGACCTCAGATCCCAGGGGCTTATGACAAGTACCTCTGTCCTTGGGAAACTTCATGGCCAGACTGAGGCTGCTTCTCACAGACAAGCATCGCACCGCTGAGCAGGGAGGGCTGCTACCCAGACTGCATGCAAGCTCTGGGCATCCCTGTCTCTGAGCAGAGCACCCGTACCTTCTGGATATGTTCTCCTTCGTTCCAAAATTGCACATTAATGTGTATATGACATGTACATGAACAGTACAGGTGCACAGGACAGGTGAGTTAGAGAACTGACTGGTGTTGCCGCACACATTGAGCTTAAGGGCTAAGCTAACAGGATGGTAGTTTGCTAAGATGACCAACATTAGTGGAGCAACTGAGTACTAATTTATTCATTTAACAAGTTTTTCATTCCATGTATGTGGATGGAGCATAAACATATGTATAATAGATTAGTATTAAGTGTGGTTCAGTAAGTTTTACGAAAAATCACAGATCTGGATTTGAATAGCAACTCAACTCCTTACTAGTTGATTAATCTTAAGGAGATTCTTAAACTCTCTGACCTGTTCTAGGAGGAAACGTGAACAAATCCCTTTAGAGTTTTGTGTTTTGGCCAAATAGTTACATTT